ATGTAGCCACGGTTATTATTATTATATTATGATCTTTTATCTCTATTTAATCAATATTTTTCATTAATATCACATGCTTAACCTAAAACTGTATCAAGTAAGACTAGAGATATAGTATGTAGTACCTGTGTGTACGTAGTTTATAATCAAGCTAAGAAAAACCTGGCAAAATTGGAGAATGATACAGGATACAAATCAGTGGTCAGTTTTATTATACAAATCTTCTGTGAAGCCTTCTTAGATTATTGCAGCCTTTGGCAATAAGTTTTATTTTTTTATAGCAATTTTAGACTGGACATATTTTAACATTATGCTCTATCTTTATCATTTTCTAATAGTTCGGTATCTTATAGTCTTGTCTTTATGGAAGAGATGAGACTGATTGTCAAACCCTTTGACTCTAAATCCAATCATTTAACGCAGTCACATAAAGCAAATGCAGGCCATGAGAGCAATGTAGCCTACAAACAATTGTTTAATGTCTTTATACTTGACTAAATGGGTAGAAGTCTTAATTTTTTTTAATGTTTATTTACCTTTGAGACACAGAGAGACAGAGTGCGAGTGGGGCAGGGGTAGAGAGAGGGAGACACAGAATCCGAAGCAGGCTCCAGGCTCCAAGCTGTCAGTACAGAGCCCGACGTGGGGCTTTAACTCACCAGCCTTGAGATCATGACCTGAGCCAAAGTCGGCCAACCAACCGACTGAGCCACCCAGGCACCCCTGGGTAGAAGTTTTAGATAACAAAAAAAACATCATTAATTCTTGTAACATCTGCTAATACCTATTGTGTGTCCATACATGGAGAATAAGAAGCTGAGGCTCAGAGAGATTAATTACTTTGTTGCACGTTTCCTTTGTTGCAAATAAAAAGCTAGTAAGAGAAAAAACTCAGAAGTCAGCCGGCAGGCTGTCTCCACAACTGGCCCACATAACAGTGCATTCCGTGTGTGATCCTGATGGGTTATTTCATCTCGCTGACTTCTCTTTCTCCATTAGGTGGAAAGTGGAAAATAGCAACTTACTTTATAAGGCTGCTATGACAATTATTAAGAAAAATACCTCCAGGAGCTTTGTAATCCATGAAGCTCTATAGCAAACGTATGGTATTGCTGTTGTCACTGCTGTCTTTCTGTTGCCATTTTTACCCCCATGTCCTATCTGCTCAGCTTCCACTTAGGGGAGCAAAGTTTCCACTTAGATTTCTGTAGAGATAAATTGCTTTTACAATCATTTACTGACTTTGAAATCTCAACATTCATGCTCATGCTCAGATTGTATAATACCTATGCCCTACAGTAGCTTATATTTTACTGAGAAAGACTACCTGACAAGGCATAATGTGATAAGGGATGTAATGAAGTTCTGAGTTTTGTGCACAGACCTCATAGGGAGGAAAGGGAGAGTGACAAGATCTATGAGACTCAAAGAGTTAAATTTTCCCAGCTTGGAAAGAAAGACCTGCAATTTCAAATTCTAATAATCTTCCTCTGGGAGAAGCATCAACAAGTTTTGCATTATATTTATGCTACATAGCACCCTTTGTGCATGGTCTTTAGTCCTGCCTTTCCTGCATCTTTTCCCACAAAGACTGTCCTTGACCACCAACAGAAATGAATTTGATTTCTCTAATGCAGAAGGTAATTGGATTTTTTCTTTATTGAATGCATCCCTTTAATGACTGTCTCTGCCCCTGCCAATTTAGCTGCAAGTGACCTGACATTGATCTGATGATATGACTTAAAATAAAGAGTTGGAGCTGGGGAGTGAAAAAGACCAGCTGTCTGGCATCAGAAAAAAAAAAAAA